AAACACAATATCTGAAACACAAAACAAAGCTTTCAACAATAAAACAAAATCTGCGGTTATCATGGGAACCAAAATATTGAAACTTAACATATCCAACATATTAGCATGATGTCAAATTATAAAAGAATAAATAGATAAGACAATATTTGATATATACCGTAGGTGTGGAGGGTACAGATAAGCTGCGGTGAGGAGGAATTGATGAAATCTTTTATTCTCCACCGGTACGCCATCAGGAAAATAGCCCTGGCCAAGTACCCAGCAAAGTGGTATGTCCTCTTGCTGAAGCGGGGCACTTTTGCTTTGGCCTCCCTCCAGTTGTGCTTGATTGTAACAGTGTGAGCTTAAGTGTCAGGGTCAACAAAATTGTATGTATGGTTCCCAGTTAAATGTTAATAGTCCTCTTTTTCAAGCCATTATATACCTTCCAACAATCACTAATGACTGTTGTTCTGGGAAGAATACTTATAAGCATAAAAGGAATAGAGGGAATGTTAGTAGAAATATGATAAAATGATGGATTAAACAATTACTAATTGGTAATGTTTCCATGTTGGTTGAAAATGGTGCACAGAAAACAAGGAACTCTGGTTGTGTAAGGGTATTGTGGACTTAGTCTCTGAGCGGCACATAGCGCCGTAAATTTTTGTCATTTACTGGTAAATATGAGGCCACTGTAGCTTAAAGTATGTTGTATCCCATTCTATTTTTTCCTCTCTATAAGATGCTGGGCGGTGTCCATTTTCCTCTATCTACACGCATCGTTCTCTTTAACTTTTATTGGTAGAAATCACTATGAAATGCCAGTAATTCAGCATCACATGTATTTACTAGGGAAGTCTACAAGATTTTTGAGTGCATATAGGCAATCATGGCAGTTATTTCTGCTGTGGACTTTGTTATCAACCAAAAAACCCAAACCTAACATTTCCTACCTTCTATTTATTCCCTAGAAAGAAGGGCAAGCCCCCTGTAACCCCATTTTATTAGCACTTCATGCCAACAGATAGAAAATGGACTTTAAGAACTGAGTGAGGATGCTGTAGACTTAGTTTCTGAACAGTGATATGCAATGTCGCTGTGATGTTTATGATTATAATCTTTATGCTTTATGGCTGGGTCTATTTCTCTCTATCTCTTTGCATTGCTCTCAGTAACTTATACCTCTGCTGTATTTACCCTTTTAACCCATTGGTCACAGATTTTTGGGGGGATTTTGTATTGAAATATTTATGAAAATAGAAAATAAAAGATAATCTTTCCAAAACTAAAAAAAATGGTTAACAGATGGGATTGGTAGAACTAATGACTCCTTGGTACCTGAGTACTCATGGAGTCATCTATGTGTAGACACAATTAATAAACTAAGAAAAAATGGACATGCATATCATGCCATCTACAACTATTGGGTTAATATCTAGTAGCACTATTATCCATTCATATTTGTAGATGAATATGAACAGGAAGTGTCTTTTTGCTTCCTGAAGAAGGCAACCTTTGTGTTAAAAATTACTCTGTATACTTATATTCCAATTACCTGAGACAACAGCCATAAAAAATGCAGATTAATAGTGGAACACATGTGCTCACCTGAAATTATCTCCAGATAGAAAAGCTTGAGGATCAATAGAAGCAAAAAAATACATGTATATATATTGTTAATAGGGTTTTTAGAATTCTAGTATGAAAATATGATAGAAAATTATTTTTCAGGTAGAATGCAACATGCTAAATACAACTGAAATAATAGAACTGTTTTAATGCTTTTAATTGTTTTACAGAAAAGTCATAATGTTCCAGTTGGCTGAGATACGTCACATGGTTCGTATCCCTCCGTGGCTCTTTGGCCAAACACTTAATGATGCAGTGGTGGAAGAGCTGAATCGGAAACTTGCCAATAAGGTTCATAGTTGTGTTGTTTTATTGTTAAGTTGATATTTTGATTGTTATAACACTTGACAGTTAAATTGCATGGTTAAGGTATTGAATATTTTCAGCATTTGTTTAAGATCATTTTTGAAAAATGTGAATAAATCTTGAGGTTTTTGAATTATTATTATTCACAAGAAGATTTCACTTTCTCTCATTTAGTTAAATAAAATGGGAAACCCATCCTTATCAACACCAAAACAATTTTGTAGTGCAACTCATTTTAATGATTACAAAGAAAAAATAAGCAATAAGTAGTATTAGTTTTAATATAAATATACCCTAGTGTCTGGATAGAGTATTTAAAATATGCACCTTGTCATCACCAGATTTACATGATAAAAATAAAAAGGGTTAATCCCAAGCCTCCGGGCATGGCATGTACATAAATGCCATTGCTCATTTTGTGTTGAATTTAGTAATTGTTTTTACATATAGATGGCTCCACAAGTACTGTCACCAATGAGCCAATTATGCGAACTACCTGTCTAACCTGTTTATCCTTTTTCTTGATTTATGATAATATTTTCTAATATTCAATATTACTGTTTGTAATGTCAGTCACAATATA